ACTTGCTCAGGGACGCATTGGTGGATGGTCACAGTGGGGAGTTGAACCCGGGTCTCACCAAAGGCATCTGTCTTATCCACTGTGCCGTCACCACCCCCCATTTCTGAGAAGTTTTGAGGTGAGAAATCAACTGTGTAGATTTCAAATATTGACAATTTTCCGAAAAGTGATGGCGGAACAAAAATGTGCTTGAAAGTTTTCGGAATTGAGGAGGTAATGAAAAAACAGCATAATTAACCCAAGATGGAAAATAATAATGATGATGATGATGATGATGATTTATAATAATGGTAATAATAATAATACTTTAAAACTTACAAAACTTGAATGTGACAAACACTTGATGCCAGACAGTGGATAACTTAACAATTCTGAGGTAGAACATTCAAAACTAATTAGTTTTAAATCTTTTTTTAGTTAATTAGTAAATCTTTTTTCAGTCCCTTTTCCTCAACAAAATAAATATTTTAATAGAACAACTAAGTGCTAATTTATTGGCGATTCAAGTGGATTAAACCAAATATTTATTGACGATATATTGAACATACAATTTTCGATAATTGTCTTTATTGTTCAGTCCTAATCTGCAGCAAGTCAATATTTATTTAAAATGGTATTGACACACACATCACCTTCAACAAATATTGCGCCTCCTGTGATTTGAAAATTGCAGAAGGCCATAATTTTAATTTCAGTAATATTTTGGTTGTTCAACCCTACTGCACTTAATGTCAAATCCTGTTTAATTTATTTGTGTGAACTGTGTGTTGACTGACTTTGGGGTGAAAAGATAATGCCAGCATCTTTTATATTTGATTAAATTTGTTTCCCAACTCGTCTTTTATCCCTTCCCCCCAGATTTCATATCCTTTTTATCTGTTGCCAGGCAACAGGCGGTAATAATAAATGCAGTAGTCGGTGTTGAGTATCTAGAAGTGGTGTCCCACATAATGACCAAATGGAGCAGCAGAATGTGAATGAAGTGATCTAAAAATAATCTGGTAGAAATGTTTATGTGGGAGTATGAATGGTTTTTCAGGGTTCACTCCCACACACGCTGAGCACTGTCGCCCATCAATGAAACAATAATGTGTCCTGTAAATTACCAGATGACCTGATGTTTCTCTTTAGGAGTAACTACATCTCACTTCTTTTAATTATCTCCTATGTGTTGCAGTTTTTACAGTGGGGGAACGCATTTAATGTTTAATGTGCATGTTTGTTTGTTTTTAGGACAAGTGGTTGAAGATGATCGGGATCAGGGGCAGGCTGACCACAGTCCAGCTCTAGCCAAGCCTGTTTGTGTGAACGGGACGGAGGGGGGGTCTCTGAACAGCAAGGCCAAAGCCGAGCGCCGGTCCTCCTCTTCATCCAACCCCTCACGTAAAGGAGTCTCCACAGCCAGCAAGATCCGCAAGCTCTCCACATGCAAACAGCAATGACCCCTCCCCTCCCTCCCTCAGCAACAACCCACCTGGTGAGTGTGTAGATTCTAGATGTAACAAAAGTGCAACCTGAATTATGCTTTAGAAGTGCTTAGAGGACAGCTTTTTAATACAGTATAAATAAGGGGAAAAGATTACGATAAGCACCTAAGGAGAACAGGTGCAGCAGATCCACATAAAAAGATGCGAGGGATAGAACATACACAGACGTAGAGATGAGTATCAGGCAGAAGGAGGAGGAGTGGAAGGGGAAACCAGAGAGGAGAGGGAGAGAATCTGTGTTGATATTCAGTGAGCAGTGCTCTGACTCACCACCACTCCCCAGGCAAACACATGGGCGGTTTCCTATACAGTCACAAAAACTAGATCTGGATTGGTCCAGTCTCTAGTGTTACTTTTCTATTCTCTGGTATATTCTCTGCATTATAACCTTCCAGGTTTTTGTCAGTGGCCTTTATTCAGACCAAGAAGTGGGGCAGATTGATGCTGCAAGCGTACACTCCTGTTCAATAGGTTGTCCGCCTCACTTTCCAGTTAACCACCCACAGTTTGCTCTTTCGGTCTCTTGCACATACAAGCCACTCACAGCATAAGGCTGTTTGTCATGGGTGCACTGCAGAGAAGATGCTGTGTATTAATTTGTTCAGGCGATGACTCACCCTGGATGAGATACAGCGGGCTATGAGATGTTTGTATCTCTCTCTCACCCTGTAGCGGAGTTTTTCCATTCTAACAATTAGTCTACAGTTACAATTATGTGATACTGTTCACTTTTAACTTGTGGGAACTTGCCTTTGTTTGTGCCTAGTGCTGCGCCATACAATAAGTAATATTGTATTAATAACAACAATAATAATATCATCATCCATCTTGGGTTTAAATAAATCAGTCTAACTTGCTGGCATGATCACTCAGTTAATACACATTTAGGTATGTTAACAGCAGCCAAGCATTTTGCAGAGAAACACAGAGAGATGTTATCTATTACACTACAAGAAGCGGAACAGTGGAAAATTTACAAACAAGGGACAGTGAACACACCAGGGCAGATGCCACGGTAGTTTTGAGTTGGTGTGTTTGCAGTGAGAGACCAGAGGTGAAGAGAGAGGGAGCAGATTCAACATTTACATTATTTTAATCAGCCACAAAGTGTGTAGATGAGCTCAGGTTTCAGTATGATAGTTACTGAAAGGCTGTGTGTTTGCTGCCACAGACAATAAATAAATGTTGATTAACATTACAATGGTGTCTTGTACTCTTCAATGTAAAGTTGCTCCAGACTGTGAAAAGCTAGCTACTTAGCAGGCTAAAACCTATTAAAATAGCCTAAAAATGGAGGTAACCGAAATGCATTTTGTGGAAGAGTAATTGGAGTGATCAGATTTATGATCGCATTTTCTCTTTTTTTTTTAAATTTTTATTTTCTGTGACACCAAAAAAATCACATTGACTTGTAGCTGCTAACTAGCTTGCTTTCCACCATCTGGACAAACTCTACTGTGAAGATTAGTAATGTTGCATAAACAGGGACTTTTTATTTCACACAGCTTTCACTAACTTTATGCAGCAACCTTTATCTACGGACTTGATGGCTAGCTACATAAAGTAATGTTACTACCCCTCGGCAGTGACCTGAAATGACGATATGGTCATCTACTAAATGGCACATGAATTATTATTTGAATGTCAGTCAAATTGAATTTCAATCAATCACCTAGCCCTAGTCGGAGCATGTGATGAGATAAACTAAAAATTAAACCAGTTATATTCTTTCCTTTCTTTTCCGCCCTCCGTCTCTGTCCCTCTCAGGTTGATCTGTCCCCGTCCTTCTGTGTCCGGAGTCCTCACAGTTGTGAGCGAAACCTGCTGACGTTTATGTCCCCGTACCTCCTTGGACCACCAGCCTGCAGAGTCTTTTGAAGATGCGGTATGAGTGATGAGGAGGAGGACAGCATGAAATGTTCTTTTTGCTCTGAGACTGAAGCACTGGCTGTGAAGATGGTGTTTTGTTTTGTTTTTTCCCATGTTTTGGATCCTTTCAACTCCTGTCATCTAGTCATTTCCCCTCTCCGTGCTGTCATCCTCTTAGGAGGACCAAGTGTTGCACCGGACATTACAAACACCATCACCCCTGTACCCCACTCATCCACCCCCTCTACCCCACCTTCTGTTTCTTTGACTACCTTTGTTTTTACAGAATCCTAATGGCAGTTTTTAAGACACATTGTGATGTGTAAAAAATTAAAGAGAAAAAAAAAGATAACGAAAGTTATGAATAATTCTATATTTAAATCTATGATGAGAGTAATTATGATACTACCACCAACAAAAAAACTGCATGCTGTACAGAGCTGAAAGAAGGGAAAGTACTTGGTTTGTGGACAGACTGAAGCCTTGAGATCCTCCGCTGACCTGTTCGGGATTTTTGATTTCCTTTTAAGTTTATTTTCTTTTTTTTTTCCAATGAATATTTTTTAATTATTATTTATATAAAATACCTCCCAAACAGGCTGTTTTGTTGGATGATCTTTTCTGTTAAACTTTTGAGATCAGCATATTTTTATTATGCAATGTTTTTTTTAAATTAATATTATTATTTATTATTATTTTACATATCCTTTACAAGATTATACTTTGCTGGGAGTGCTACACTTATCTTTTTCTGATGTCAGCATCTAGTTTGTAGTCTAAACCTATATTATCAAGAGCTGATGCTGCTCAGCTGCAGGTGGTGTGTCGTCACAATCACCCGTTGCCTGTTTTCCAGCGATGCTCTTTGTTGTGCTGATCACATCAGCGTGAGCCCTGTCCCCCTCTTACGCAGCCAAGCCCATCCTCAGCCCCTCGCTGGGAATAGATCAGAGAGCAGGTGAGTCACCACTCGGAGGGTGGGAGGGAGTGAGGGCAGCGCTTATCACGTCAGCTAGGTCTACAGATTCTCCGTTCACGGCAAGACACATGAGGAGCAACGCGTAGAGGATGAACAGAAGAATATTTGGGCGGTATGATTAGTACATTAGGGAACCTTTTGCTTTCTGCTCTGATGGTAACATTTTTGACTGTATAATGTTGACAGTTTCACACAGTACATCATCTTACAGGAATCACATTACAACAGCATGGGTAGGGGCATCACTCATATTTTCACTTTTTAATAATTTTTTTTTTATTCAGAAATGTGTAATCAATATGTGCCTCAGTTGGTCCCACAATGTCTTGCCTTTATCAAGGCTGCAAGACATTTGAATTTTCTGCACTATTCGTTTTACAGTAAAGCAGATTGTTCACTATGAATTAGGACAAAAACATGAGTTTCATAAGATACATGTACTGTAGCTCAAACCCTAAGTCTGAAAGAAAAAGGAACAAACCACATACCATTGCAGTTTTCCAGGTGACCATCTTTATCACAAGTTAAAACATGCAGCAGTGCTCTTATGTTGAAAAGATAGAATATGACATAATAATTACACTTCACATCCATACTGGAAGATGGTGGTAAGAAAGCTATTCAGTGTGCGAGACAGATTTACACACGGCTGGCAATATTCTACATTTTCCTTAATGCTCTTTTCATGACAAAGAAAAATGTAGAATATCACCAGACATATCTTTTCTTTAGTAATACAGAGCGAGTAGCCTATAGCCCCTTCTGGTGGGATAATGGGAGCAGACTATGCCACTGCTATTCAGCTTCCACCTCCACTTTTCACAGCCTCAATTCTCTGTCACTGGACCATCTGTCTAAAAGCCTGCGAGGCTCCTGTGTCAGTCACTTTAAGTATCATCTGTCAGTCTCCCCCTCAGCAGAGTCCCAGCAGTGATACAACACTCCACTACATTCGAGCCCACGGAAGCTCCTGGATACCGCCTCCTTAATTATGATGAATAACAGGGACAAATGACTAACATAAATCCTATAAAAATAGGTGAAATATGAGTATAAAAATTCTTGATGCACGCATTTTTGACAACTATGTTGGCTGTATTGTGTCCCATCTGTTTTAACCATTATGATATAGTATGTGTATTCTAAAGCTATGCTGATATGATGTCAATGAGATTTTTTTTTAAAACATAGTGTTGCTATTCCTATTGCCAAATATAAAAACCACAAGCTTTCATGGAAACATTTGCCCTCATGGTGAAAGAGACAAGAAGGACACTTGAGGATATGGTTTTAAAATGAGAGAAATGGGTGACAGAAACTCCATCATCTTTCTTCTCATCAAAGTGCTTTTTGTTTTAAAGTTAAATCTGTACAGTATTCACAAGCACATTAATTGGACATACAGTAGCATGCTGAAACATCACAGTTAACTCTGAAAATATTGAATTTTTCTAAAGACGGGTCTATATTTTCAAAGCTATGTAATGACTGCGTTTGATTTTAAGAACGGTTACCAATAAAAAAAAAAAAAAAAGAAGGGGGGCATCACATGTCACATGGTGTCACAGTGGAAATTAAGGTCTGAATGTAAAGACTGGGCATCAAGAGGGTACTTCTGTCCTTTAGAATATATCTGTGGTTTGATGCATCGGTTATCAAACGAGGTTTATTTTGAAGAGGTCCAAATGTAAGGGACACAGATTGGCCAAGTATCTAACACATGATGATGTTTGAAGGGCTATAGACTATTTTATTAAAGTCTGTTGTCTATAGACAATGGATTTGCGATAAAGTTAATAAAGAGAATGGAGTTGTTAACAGGTTATATGGGACTGAAGCCAGGTGAGGCTGTGTGAGACACTGTAAGCACATGCTCTGTTCCTTCGTGGCCGAGCTTCTCTGCATTGCGCAGGCCGCCGTAGAGCCTCTCTTCCACTGATGTGACCAGCTTGTCTTTCAGGCTGCTCTCTTCCTGCAGGGAAACCTCTGATAGAATAGCTTGACTACTGTTGTTGTTTCTGTTGTCGACTCGTGGATCCATGTAGGTCTTCTCTGCAGTCACAGTGGTCAAAGACTGACTAGTTGTGCTTTCTGTGTCCTTTTTTGTGGAGACTTGGCAGCCATCACCGTCACCATTCGACCCTGCACAACTCTTTGTTGCCTCAGGGGTTGCTTTGTCTGTACTTTCTGTGGCGGCGCCTGTAGCGCCTTCACTTGATGGATCTTTGTTCTCTGTGCTCTCTTTGGCCACTTCCTCGCAAGCTGCAACCTCACTGGCTTCTTCATCGGCAGCACTCGCAATACGTGAGAGTGTGCTGTGATACCTGGTGTCCAGAGGGTAACCGGCGCTGTCACCTCTTCGCAGCGGAGTGAACCTCTGCCTCTCCAAAGATGGAGAGTACCTACCCCCAGCGCCTGACCCTGGGTCGCTGTATTGCTTGTGTCTTTGCCACTGTTTCCGTAGGTGAACTCTGGATCGATGCCTGGAGCGCTGTGGAGAATCCTGCTGGTCAAACCGTGGATCGTGACGGAGAAACTCATTGAAAAGAGCGTCCGTCTTCTCGTCTATGCTGTAGTCACGACGGCGGAGACGAGGTTGGTGGGAACTGGAGGGCTGTGGTATTGTCTTCATGAGCGGAGACATCAGCTGTGATTGTGATTCTGGAGGTTTCTGAGGATGAAGGGCTTTCAAAAGTTGATATGGTTCTTGAAGGGTAAGAGACTGGCTGCCAGTTTGAGGTCTCTCTTTTAGTTTGACCGTCTCTGTGCAGTCTGCCATCTCTTCCTCCAGCTCCTCCTGAAACAGCTTGGCCTCGATGCTCTCACACACTGAACCTTTCCTCCCAGAGCTGGTGAAGAACAACCTTCTCTCAGATGCTGTCTTCCCTCGAGGAGCTCCAGGGGTCCCAAAAAGCCGCATTTCCTCAGGCGCCCTGGATGGTGCTTCAATGGAGGCGTACCCACTGTCCATCTGTAGGAGCTTACGGTTCCCTGCCTCACCCTCTCCTCCAGCTCCACTTCCCATCTCACTGTAACCACCTGTTGCCCCTCTGATCCCTCCCTCCGGCGCCTCTCCCTCCCCGTCTCCTTCAGGCTCATCGTCCAGGTCTTGGGACAAGCAGCTATCCAAGCCAGAGCGCACTCCTGCACCGCTGAGGGATGAGACGCTGTCCGCATCGCTACGGATGGACTCCCGATCTGTGCTGCTATGGTCTGAGGAGGCGTATTGCTCCAGAGAGGCTCGTAAGCTCCATATGTCTCTGTACAGGGAGGGAGGAGCCTCTGAGGTCTCCTGGCGAATTATGAAGGAAAAAGATGAGCCTGAGTCGGCCCTTTGCCTGGCCTCAGCTCCCAATACCACCTCATCCCCGTCATCTACCTCTTCCTCACTCTTTTTTCTCACATCTGATGTCATGCTGTCTGTCTTTGTGTCTTTAGATTTCCTTAACATGTCTTCAAAACCTTCCTGTATGGCAGCTTCTTGTTGAGCTCCAAACAAATTTTCATCGTCTACTGATTCTAGCTCAACTCCTGCTGCATCTGTTCTTGTAACTGCGCCGAACTTTGTTTCTTTTTCTACTCCTGTTCCATTGGCTGTGGCCTCCTCACGCGCCAGGGCGCAACAATTATTTGTTGGCGAACAGAGATCCTCTCTTCTGGGACTGCTGCTGCCACCGCCTACCTCCACCATGGCCTCCAGTTTTAACCTGCACAGATGGAGAACAGTCAGTTAATCAACAATTCTTGGAACTTCATGGTGCATGTCATGGGATTATAGGAAGGGTTACACCTGCTGAGGAAGACTGAGGGCGTGGGTGCAGTGGCGGGGTGAGAGAGAGTCTCTGCAGAGAGGGACTGGAGGCCACTGGTCTGGATGGGAGTGTGTGGGAAGGATTCAATGACCTCATCTCGGAGAGGAGAAGAGTCATATTCAGTGTGATCAGTGGTTTCACTTGCTGCTCTCTGTCTCTGGAAGGGCCTCCTCTTCGGGGATCCTGGTAGACAAAAGATATAGCTGTCTACTTAATGTGTTTCACTTGCAGTTTTTTTTTTTTTATTATAAAGAGATTCTTTCATTTAAGTTAGACATCATCCACAAATCTAAGCTTCTTCATCCATTTAGGACATATAACCAAACCTTTGGCATCCAGGCTGGCAGCACGGTGACTGCTGTCAAACTTCCACCTCCTGAAGTAAGGCCCTGCCCCCTCCAGACTGGCATGGCGCCGCAGTTTAGAGAAGAAATGTAAAACTGAAGTCTGGCCTGGAGCTTGAGTCAGCTCTCCTCTCATCCCCCTTTCGCTCTCAGCATTTCCCCTGTCCCTGACAGTCTCCATCTGACAGAAGAGATGAAAGGAGAAGGAGGATGGAGGAAGGTGATGAGACATTAAGGAGGGGTGGAGGTAGAGTAACTGAGATGACTCCTGACAGGCAGAGGCAAAGCCCTCAGGGGACAGCAGTTTGTCATATTGTCAGTCAGTTGCAGTGATGACTGATGTCACAGTGCATTGGTAGGTCTGAGCCTGTGGCAGCTGCTTTTCACAGTTCTGATACAAGAGGAACAATTCACATTGCAGTATCTATCTGTGCTAATGTATTTCTGGCCAGACAGCTTGAATGCAGGCTTACTTACAATTATACTGTTCTTTTCATCCATCAACACAGAAGTTATTGCAATTCATCTTGAGGGAGACGCTACTAGTTGTTTTCCAAGTCTACAAAGGTCGACCTCACAATCGCATTAGAGTTAATGTCTGAGGATCATCAAAGTCATTGGGACCCATTGTCTAGGAATCATGAATATATGTATAGAATTCATAGTAATCCATCCAGTAGATGTTGAGATACTTCAGTCTGGAATAACCAACAACATTGCCATGCGAAGAGCCACAGCGCTAATGTGGCTAATCATTTGTTCTCTATATTGTAAGACCATTTTCAAACTCTCTCTAAAATAGAAAAAGGTGAAACTGACTGTCTGGGACCGTGTGTGCTGTGCTTTCATGGCTGATGAGGTCCGTCTGGGCCCATGGTCCAATATGGTGGAGTGGTGCGGGTCTCCTGGTAGACCTCCACTGGTGCTCTGTCCCATCCAGTCAGGCACTCTCCTTTCAGTGGGCTGGAGAGAAAAATCAACACAGGTTAGGGACGAGAAATTAAGATGTATGAGGTAAATCACACCCAGTGTCAAGTTACCTGGTAGATGCTGAGGGGCAGTGTGGGAGCTGCAGTCTCACAGATGTTGATGGTGCTGCTCTCTGTTGAGTCACACTCCATGATGGTGAGGATCTTCAGGTCACACTGGGCCGGAGGCAGGTGAAGGTGGGTCAGCCGGGCCTTTTTCAGGTGGTGGAAGTCTCCCTCAGTCAGAGTGTACCTGAGAAAGAAGTCGAATCATCTACTCTAATTCCAGCAGCAGCTTAGCCAAATGATGATGTACAAATTCACCTTGGTTCAGTGGAACGGTACCTGCGTCCCTTGTCCTGTGTCGTCTTCTGTTCATAAAGTGCAGATTCATTGAAGGAGACTCTGCGGCCAGTGGCCCCAGTGGAGAGAAATCGCTCTGACTCTCCATCATGACAGCTCGAAGCTGAGAGAGCGTCTGATTCATCCAGATGAATGGTGATCTCTAAGTGACAAAGAGGACAAGAACAAACAGAGCGAGAAATAATGGAGTCAGTGACGACAGTGAACCAGAATACATGTATATGTGAACTTAAAAAAAGCACAGCTCTGACCTTGGGTGGGCTGAGAATCCTCAGCATAGGTGGTGTTTGTCTTCTCAAGGTCATCGCTGGCTCTGAATGTGGGGGGGGATGAGTTTTACTCTTTGTGCTCTTTCACAAAAACTCCATCACATCACAGCTTTTAATTTCATATTCAGAACTCTGTGTGTGTGCGCGGACGAGCCAGGCCTGCCAGTCCCACACAGGGTGTCACTCAGCAGGGCGTACCCACCTGGAGTAGCGTCGTCCACCCATGCAGCAGCGGTGACAGAAGAGGAGCAGCAGGGAGAGCAGGACCAGCGTCCCCCCTGCAAAAACACTCAGCAGCACCAACAGCAGCACATAGTTCTCCACCCGGCCCGCCGACACAGGCACATCCTGATGAAGAGCAGCCGAGAAAAGTGGTTGACATTTAGTCAAGTAGGCTACTATCCTTGAGTACCATTTTGAGGTACTTGAGTATTATCCGTAAATAAATAAAACTGAAAACTAAATTCCCGAGGGAAACACTGTATTGCATGCAAAACATCTAATCACCTTATAAAAAATTAAGCGTACATGTCAATGCATTAGTAATAATAACTCAGCTATTAAAACATTTTATAATGTATTGGAGCTGTGTCTTTGGCGGCCTGTTTGAAGTGAGTCCGATATTCACTCCCCTGTTAGTAATTCAATACATTTTTAACATAAATAAAAATTTGAATTAGGGCAGCTTCAAGCAAACGTTTTGAATGCAGGAGTTTCTCATGAATGCTTATATATGCTGTGTTATTTCTACTTTCATCACTGGATCCCAGACAAGTTTTTCATATAGTACTGTATAATCTATGTATGTCTATGTTACCAAATGACAGAATGTTATTTGGCCTTGTGGAAGATATCTTTTGTTAAAGAACAGTTCACACAGGCTCCAAATTGAAGAAGAGTCTTTAGTTAAGAAGAATACAGATGGATATGAGAAGCATCTATAAGAGAGTTTACAGCAGTCATGAAATACCTTTAGCAGAAAGACATTCAGAGCAAGGTTTTACACCGTTACAAGAAGAGTAGAGCAAACAATGGGTTGTGGGCTGGGCTAATTAAGAGGTCTGAGTGACAACAAAAGGTGAATAGAACTCAGGAAAAGACAGGCTAATTAACAATGCAATCTGATTCAATCTGTTGGTGGCCTATTTGACTAATCCCTTCAACACCTATGACAATGCAATATCTCTGTCTGTGTCTGGGGGGTGTCTGGTCACATGTAAATTCAAGAAAGCCTCTCAAAGGCAATCTTCTTGGGGTGAGTATTTCAAAGAGTTTGCGCACAGTGATCTCCATGATCATGGAAATAGCCATCTGTCTGAAGAACCCAATGATAAACATGTGAATGAAAAGTTACTTCTGCAGCCTGTCACCAGCTGTGATTGGGATGGGGCTGCCTGCTGTCTTGCTCTATAGATATTTTAGAGATACGTGACAATGACAAGAGAGTGTCATGAACCTCCCAAATACCAAACCAGAAGTGCTCTGTGCAGTGATGCTGAACCTCTTTTCCCACCTCACTTCACCAAGCCAGAAAACCACAAAACCCACACACAAGCGCACAGCTCGACACAACAAATATCAGCCTTCAAAACCAATATCTGCTAAACCCTGGTACTCACTGTTATTGTTTGGGTTGCACAACATCAATTTAATTTCCATGGCTTGTAATAAAATGGTATTGCAGGAGCCCATAACTCATTAATTTAATAGCACAGTAAGGCAGAAGCTTATATATCTGTGTTGCCGTGTTTTTTTGTTTCGAGCTTGGTGGCTGCGTTAGTCGTTTTGGAACAGTAATTGATTATTCTCCCTTTGAGCTTCGCAGCAATCTCTTTGTTGCATTATGCTGTCAGATAAGTGCTGTACTGTTTAATAAGGAGTGGAATTAACACTGAAAGACTTTCTTCAGTCCCTGCCTCCTCTCAGTGACTGTTATCACACACACACTCATACATCATGCCTGCTAACACATTTACACACACACCGAGTCAGCACAACTGCCCTCTTCTCTACTCTCTCTGATTAATACTCTCGGTCTTGGCTGAGTGAGCGTCGGGATGCTAATCGAAAAGTCAGTGAGACCCTTAATTCAATTTCCCAGCTCTTCTCGATGAGGGGGAAATGAGGCCTCCGCATGCTAAAAATGGAAATCGGAGGAGGAGGATGCAGACACACATGAGCAATCCCCCCACCAGACTTTCCTGGCTCTTCTTCCAATGTCAATTTCAAATGAGAGTGCAAACAATTGTGCTCTTTTCATCGCAATGTAATATTCATTTATTGCAACATTTACAGTTAAATAATATATGAAAATGTTAATGTTTGTCATCATGCACAGCTCTGATGGAAACCATGGTGTGGAGAAGCTCCTCACAGAGCACAGACCGACCTTTAGATGATGATGACCTTAACAGGAGCACGAGCAAGGTCATAACAGCAAAAAAACCCAAAAAACAATGCCTTCCTTCTGGCTGGCTGTACAGACACTTAAAATGGCCTTTTATAAGTTGTTTTCGTCTGACAATCAGTCCAAAACCCCAAAAACATTCAGTTTACAGCGACAAAGACAAAGAACAGCAGCATATCCTCACATATGGAGTAACAGCAACCAGAGAATGTTTGGCGTTTTGATTGAAAAATGACTGAAATGATTAATCCATTATCAAAACAGCTGCATTTAAATTTTCTGTCAATGGACTAATGGAGGTGTATTATAAAATAGGCGGTGTGTGTGTGTAGTAGTCAGCTAAACAGCTGATTTTATGGTGACTGCTTTCCCTGTAAGTGGTTAAGGTACTTCCATAAGACAAAGCATCAATCAATCTGTGTCAACTTCAATCACAAGCTCAATCTAACTGCAGCAAGTCGCTACACATAGGAGAGGGTGCTGCTGAATAGAAGAAAATGTTATTTTCTACCTGTTAAACCAGAGAAGGTTGACCATAATGTGCATTACAGCAAAAAAAAAAAACACAATTTTTTACCCCTTCATTTAGCGTCAAACCTGCTTTAAGCCAGAACATGTTAAACACACAACACATATAGATAAAGTAGGCCTACATAGCCCACAGTTATGTATGTGTGTGTGTGCAGCATGCAAACAGACATGGCTTGTCAAAGCGTCTGTAACTTAATGAAATCTGCTGTTTTTACAAGCTCAGCCAAACAGGAAGAACAACGCAATCAGCTGCAGAAGTGAAGCCTCTGGACAGTCTTCAGGCCATTTTTCTAACAGTCAGTCAGTTTTCCCTCCGCACAGAAGAGCTTTAACTGTCCGATAATGACCGCAGCTGGCTCAGATATCCACCCCACCCCACCCCACCCCACCCACCAGTTCTCCAGAGGCCACATGGCATACAAAGCCAGCATCACACTCGGTCCTGTTTTTCAGTTAAATCCTGTTTGGAGACAGATCAGGCTGTTCTCCACTACTGCTGCACCTGATATATAATACATGTTACTGGAACACTGTGGTATCAACTCATCCTGTTTGTTTGTTTGTTAGTTTTTGCTACCTAACAGTTGCTGCTTTTGGTGGAGGTCCAGTGTGATCCATAAAGTATTGTGGAAGAGCTGTTTGTTCACCAGGCTACAGACAGCAGCTGATGTGAAGGTCTGGAGAGTATGTGTGGACAGAGTGGGTGGAGAGGTGGACACAGCCGTACTCACAGTGGAGTTCTCGGTCAGACTTGTCAGAACAGGCAAATCATTGCTCATGGTCCAGGTCAGCGTTCGTGAACCCTGCAGTGGATGGAGAGAGTGAAGTCAGACAGAGCAGCCACTTCTTTCCAGACAATAATACAGTTTCTCTTATTTTATGTAGACAAGACAAAGTGCAGTGGATTTAAACGATAAGATCAACAAATCCAGTGAAAAGACCAAAAACAACAATTAACTGATCCTACAAAAAGTGTTTGTGTAGCCAAAGCCAGATATATCTTATTCCTCCACGTTATAGACCTCCATCGTTGTTTAAAATTAAAACACATCAATGAGCACCTGGTGCTGACCATGAACATGGACTTTGCAGGTTATTTTGTGTCTCTCCCACATTCACCATCCTGCTGCTGTAAAGTCTCCCTAGAGCACCAAATGTTTCCAAATAAATAAATAAAATCATTTAGCATTTCTCCACCAGTTTTTCCATTATTCCTGGCCCCCTCCTTTGCAAGAGACAGATCTCCTGAAAAAGGAGTGGAGAGAGAGAGAGAGAGACCACCATGATGTGGGTATATATATGTTTATATGTATGTATGTGTGTGTACATATATATATATATATATATACACTAATAATCTGGGGGGAGATTATTAGTACTCATGCATTGATATAAAAGCATTTACATTTGATTTGTTGGCTGAAGTGAATATTTTGTAGCTATTTCATATAGGACTGCAACTAATGATACTTTTCATTATAGATTAATCTGCTGATAGGTTTCTCCATTAATCGATTGATTGTTTGGTTTGTAAACATTTTGATGCACATCACAATTACCCAGATCCAAAAGTGGCACCTTTACAATGTGTGTTATGTACAACCAATAGTACATAAAATGTGTTGAAAATGTGCTTTGAATGCAAAAATCTTAACTTGTAAAGTAACTAAAGCTGACAAATAATTGTAGTGAAGTAAAAAGCACAATATTTGTAGAGGAGTAAAAGTATAAAGTGGCAGGAGAAGAAAAAACTACAAGTACAAGTACCTCATATTTGTGCTTAAAAGCAGTACTTGAGTAAATGTACTTACTTTATTTACACATTATACACACACACACACCACCCACATCTTTATGTTACAATATGTCATCAATCCGAAGAAAATAGAACCCTGACAACATCACTAGGGTTATTCTCTCACTAGAAATCTCTCCGCAGAGCAACAGAAAACATTAGACAACTGTTTGCAAGGGCTGAACAGGACTCCTCATGACGAGTAAACTCATTTCCTGGGGAAAACTGGTGCAAAGCCCCTTACCGACGTGACATAAACCTAAATGTCGTGTGGACTGAGCGCTGTGCATTAAACCCTTACGTGACCTAAGACTTTCTGACATCTCCTAAAGAAGGACTTTTTCTGCACAATAACCTAGAATCCTCTCGGTCTCTAGACTACAGTCTGTAAATTAGAGTCTGTGAGACAGAAAGAGGAGTGTGGCAAAAAAGAAAGAGAAAGGCAGTGCAGCTTGTGTAACATCAGTCCATGACTGCATTTCTTACACATACTGGTAATGCTGCTGCACATTCCCTCACCATGTGAGCATCATATTTTATGTAATATCTTACATACCAGCAGCTCAAGGTAACTACGATGAGAACGAAGCTTTGAATAGCAAGGACACACCAATAATAAAGAACCACACACACACAGATTTATACTGAATTTAACACTTTAACCCCCACACCCCACCCCCACACCCTTAGCATTTCTAAACCGTATATGAATATGTAATAAGTGGTTTATAACAAACTATAAAATAGGGGGAAATATGGACATTTGAAGTGTTTATTAATGTACAGATTTTTCAATTATAACCTTTCAGATAAGACATCTTACATTATTACAGCTGTTTTTTTTATAAAGTATTTCTGATTCTGACAATATATTGTCATTCTTTATGTTTATACAGCAGTGCACACCTATGGGTGCCCACAGCAGTTATACATACAAGTATGTTATTGTGTGTTATAAACCATTTTTATACATGGATTTTTTTTTTTGTCTCCCTCGCAACACATGTGGTGAAAACATCTGTCTCCTCTTGCTGATTGTATAAATGGTTTAAAGCTACCTTGCAGAAGAGTTAAATGGCATGGTTGTGTGCACTTGATTGTACAGCTCTTAAAATGTCCTTTCTGGCAGGTTTACATTTCCCTTTTATTTCTTATTACAACCGACTGAAACCACTAAGCCCACAGCAGCTTTAAAAGGTTTCAAAGCAGAAGCCACTTTCTACTGATTTCTCTACATTAAGAAACCTGTCTGTCAGAATCACTTGGTTAGCAACTAAACATTCAATCATTCATTAATTCCTTCCTGTTTATTGACATACTGAGTTACTGATTTGATTTTTTGTCCATCACCATATCAGGCAGTCAAGATCAGTCCATCACCTTCTTAAAGTCAAACAGATCCACTCTGCAATTGATACTTTCAGTCCAATCTCAGCCACAGTGGGTTCCTTAATGCATTTCTGATATGAAATATTTACTGTAATATGTTAACTGTGTTAATCCACGTTGGGTCAATCATGATGAACCCATTCCGTGAAGACAAACAGTGTTCAAACCCACATAGAACTTCATTTTAAATTCAATTTGAGGTCCCAAACATTTCCAAACCTACCACATATGTCAAGCTAAACTTTGGGGACAAAATAATGCACAAGACATCTAAATTATTTTCATTTGATTTCAAGGTCCCGTCATAAAAGCAAGGAGTAGTGAATAGTTCACTCAGTAAACAGCATAGCAGTAACACAAAGTATATGTTTTCCTGTCAGTCCTAGTGGAATAAGATGATTTTCCACCATTGAAGCCAAGGGCAAATGAAGTGCACATTAAGGGTGATTTCTATGCTGATTTTGAGAATAATTGCTGCAAAGTCCCTTGAAGGGTTGCATTTTTATTATATATTATTTAATTGTTAATTTTATACATGCATAGTAACTTTTTCTCTATTCCCTCTGTTCTCATTTTGAGCATACTTAACCTACATTACATTATTATTATTATTATTATTATTAGCCTATAAATAGCCTTATATCGCCCCTAAACATTTTTTCCTATATGCTGAAAATGTGTAGGCCTATAATAGCAGGTCTAATTAATATTAATTAGACTAATGACGTTCAGCAGCTTGACTTGTTAGCTTCACCGTCATTTGATTTGTCAGTTAATGTTGAAGGTAAGTAATCAGAATTATACTGAAAACGCTGACCCCGAAATGTGTAGAAAAGTGTGTGTGTGTGCGTGTGCGTGCGTGCGTGCGTGTACGCGTGCGCTCGTTTCCAGGGTCTAATGCCATGTCGCATCCTCACATCATCTCTCGCTTTAACCAGGCAGGAAGACTTCCTACAGACTTTGTAGTTAATTCCATCAGTAGACTGCAAGGGTGCTTCGGGTGTTTATAGCCTTGTAAGCACCATTAATAGTATATGGAGGCGGGGGACGGGGTGTTAGTTTCACCCTGACGTGGGATGGGATGGTGGTGGTTTCCAGATGTGCTGTATCTTACGGTCTATACGGGCGGTGTTGCAGCAGCTCCCCTCCGCTCTGTGCAGGCTGACTACAGCGACCCGCTGCAGCCGGCGGCGCTCAGCAGCAGCAGCCTCAGCAGCAGCAGCATCTTCCTCTCTCATCCGAAAACCCGCGGATCAGGGCTGTCCCACATCATCCCTGCGTCGTCTGCTCAGCCTGCGGGGAATAAATCACGATCAGTCACACTGCATGTGCCGGACTCGGGGGCTCTGCCGTGGTCAAACATCATCTCACTAAATCAGACGCTGCGATGATATACTGTAGACCTGGCTGTGTCACCTATCCCGCATCTTACATAAGGCAATAGTAGCACCTATACCTATTAACACCTCGAGCACGCCTGTAGGTCCATTAACTGGTCTTGATGTGAGAGACAGAAATCGGACTCACCCGGCTGTAGACTCCGTTTGAAGCAGCGCTTCGCAGGCAGCCTGCCCAGTCTGCATACTTTAATTTGGGCTTCACATAAAGACTGTAGTTATGAATGAAACCACACGCTATTAGACACACCCACAGCCCGCTCCCGACGCACCACGTGACCAGCACCGATGATGGTGATGGTGATGATGATGTGAGATGGAGGAGAGGACCCGTTCTCATTCACAGCAGCTGATCATGAATGGCAGCTGCGGACAGGGCGATTGATTGGTTGCATAGGCCTATCTGTTTTTTTAGTCAAGGCTAAATATATAAATAGCCTATATAGCTTAAATTCTGATGAATATTTTAATATTTTCCATTTCCTTTGTTTGAGCCTGCCGCTGTTTCCTTGTTGTCAGACAAGAAGCAGGGGGACAGATGGGTGTTGTGGACGTTTTTGTAATCTCACATTTCATCACGTGATGGCAGCGTTGCACTGTTGTTCTCAGGGTGAACATACTTTAAAATGGAAGCTCTTCGTGCAGTTTTTTTTTCAAAGTCAGTCCAGACCTTCACACAAGGCACAGAGGACCCGCGCAGCTAAATAATGAATAGTTTAATTTCATTCTTATTCAATAGAAGTTGTCCAAATTAGAGAATGTGCACCATCAAAATGGCTTCAATCCTGCAAAATTGTTATCTTCTCGAATTCAGGCCAAAGCTCTCTCTAAATTAGCCTATTGGGTGATGTGTTTGTTTTGGTTTTACTTTTTTAAGAAGAATCTTTAGTCCCAAAACAACAACTGAGAAATGTAAACATTGCTACTATAAGCCAAACTGTGCAAAAGGCTGCAAATTCATGGTATTTGTGTAAATGTAAAACTCTGGATTCAACTGGAACACTGTCAGTGAAGTCCATATGTGTATGTGTGCCATACACATAGGACAATAGGACATCCTGATATATAGAATCATTTATAGATTAATTGATGCACCTGCAGGTTTAGGCTTCTTTGAAGATTTGAATTTTGTTAAAGGCATTCAACTTGACCAAAATAACACACCTTTGTACTATTATACCTACAGTTTGTTTCAGTTTTTAAGTTATTTTCATTATAAGTTTCCATTATTTTGTATGCCCCCTGTGTTTTGTGCATCACAAACATTTTCCACGCTATTTGTACTCACACTCTAATCCCAAAACGCGTCTTGCATTTATTCCCTCGGCAGTATACATTCCTTAGTGTGATGTCGAAATGAAGGAGTATCGCACAAATGGAAAATGTGTCAGCAGCAAAGTGGCAGGAGGTCTAATCTGCGCCTGTTTGATGACAGAAAGCGGGAGGATGGTTGGTCTGAGTTAGTAGGCCTAAGTGTTACTTTTACATTTACTCATTTAAAGCAATCAATAAAGCATCACTACAGTAAGAGAGCTACAAGTTAGACATCTGAAGAACCCATTTTATGTTTCTGCACAATAACTTTCACCCACAACTTTAGAAAACTGGCCCCAAACTGGACCAGCTGGTTGAGTGACAGAAATAGCAGCACACATGACTAGTTTAGGGGAGAATCAGTTCAGAGCAACCAAAATGAGCTTCATGTATTTACTAACTGGGCGTAACCAACATAATGAAGTCTGTGTCGCCTGTTAAGTCTTCTCAGGCTATGTGTCTTAGATTCCAGCATATTTATGGGATAGTTTGAGCTCTTCACTCCTTTTCCGCTTGCTTAAGAGGTTCTAATTGACGCTATGAGCAAAAAAAGCCTGATCTCTTCAAAAATCTGAAACATAACCACAACATATGGTTTTTAAGGACATTTTTTACACATTAGAAGAAACATGTTGCCATAGTGTGGGCAGTCTCGGAGAACTGCTATGTATTTCACATATGACCCCAATGTCACCAACATTGACTAGTGTATTGTTTTGCATTCTTGAAATGGACACAGATTCAACTTACAGAATCTCTCTAGCACACACAGTATGTTGAGAAATCTTCTTTCTTTGAGAGCAAAACAAGGATTCCACAGGGTCCTGTCCTCGGCCCTCTTTCCTTCAGTTTATACAGTACATAAATAATTTATGATTTCATGTATCCAGAAGAACTATTTCGTCAGTTTCTACCCAGTGTTGCAACACTCACAGTCCATGGCAACATGGATTGACAACTCAGGTAAAACATTCAACATTACAAAAACTGTGTCAGAAAATTTAAAGGTGAATAGATGATTTATTAAGCAGGCTTCAAAAGTCTTAAAGGGGACCTCCACAGATTTTACATACCAAAGTCTATTGGGGACTGCATGTGAAAAAATGTTGTATGACGCCTTTTGTGGCTCCAGAGAGAGCTGTGTGAAATGCCTCAAGTGACATCGGTTTGGGATGAAGACAAGAAATCTGAAAATGAAAAAAATCTGATGGTGTGGAGCTACAAGAAGTTAGCTTATCAGATCTCTGTAGCTCCTCAAAGCTACATTAGCCACTATAATGGTAATTACTGTATACTAGCAAACTGTTAGCATTTGCGTTTGAGTGTGGGTTTTGATTGACTAAACTTTTTATTGATTGTTAATATAAAAGTGGCCTGTTTAGTCAGAGATACAAGTGCAGGAAACATCAAAAGTATAAAAACCCAATGAAGCCCAAATGCTTATTTGCATTGTGGTTCTTTTTGGTGAGGTAGGGGGTAGGAGCATCATGAAAAGACAGCCCGTAGACCACTTGCAGCTTCTTAATATACATAATTTAATTTAAAAAAGAATGATCAATCACAAGACAATGTACAACGATATTAATCCAGAAGCAATGCTCTATACAATTCCGATAAAATAATACTGGTCCCAAAGTCCTCATTTTAAAAAATCCCTGGAACGTCATCCCAATAAATATATCATCGCATATATATATATATATATATATATAATATATATATCAAAAAAATCCATCAAATTAAATTCACATAAAATTAATCCATACGTTCATAACAATATAAAAAATTGATCAAGTGCCATACCTAGAACAACAGCCTAATAAGTAATATCCAGGCTGCTAATTTATGAAGGCAGACTGTCATTTTTTAAATGAAGACTTAAAGCTAACAATAGAGTCAATCATCTTAATACTCATTGGAAGCCAGTTCCACTGAATGGCAGCTGAGTACAGCCCCATACATCTCTTGAACATGAAGGGAACCAAATCAGTTGAACTCCCTCTTGTGGCATAATTATAGTATTTCCCAATTCTGGTAAAGGAGCCGCATAAGTACATTAACGTCATTATGAACAATCCTGTGAGTTAGACACAATAAGCAAAACTCTCTCTTACAATCTCAGCCTCCTAAGGATGATAAAATGAGCTGGAGGAAGATGTGTCCTAGATGGAAGTTTAAGGATCAACTGCACCAACTGATGATGGTGATGCCTGTAGCTTTTTTTCTAAGAATCATGGTGCACTTGTACACCAGGTGAGGCATGCATACTCAAAATGCCCCAGCCAATGTTATTATTATTATAATTATCGTTAATATTTAGAGCTCTTTAAGTCAGATTCCCATCTAATCTAAGGAAAATATTAAAATGTTGAGCAAGGTTTCAAAAGCAAGCACACATTTACATTACATTTAGTCACTGGAGACTGGTTACCATTTTATGCTGCCAATACCTTTCTGTATTCCATGTTCTTTTCACATTTAAAATGAACCTGTAACTATGTAACCTACATAGGAAGCTGATTAAATCCCACCAGCCCCATAGCCTTCTCTTAAGAAATTAAAGATGTTAAGTTGGATAATATTACTATTAATAAACTCATCTATAAAAACATAAATAATCAGACTCTTAAAATGCTCTATGACATGGTGGTACCTCTCAGTATATGTCGCTCAGTAACTGAGGAACTGCAAGGTGCCCTTTCATGAATCCTCCTTTGGACAGATATCTTACTCTATTTGAGGATCAATATGTGCGCTCCTATTTTCTCACTACTTTAAACTCAAGTTAAAACAGCTTGAGTTTTATGGAAATTTTATTACATCATTGTTA